ATCCCGGAATCATCCGGGTTGGAAAAGCCCTTGAAGCTCCTCCAGCCCAACCCTGACCAGGGGGCGGCGGGAGGGGGGCGGCCGGGCACGGGAATGGGCATTCCTCGGGATACGGACATTCCTCGGGATGCTGCCGGTCCCGGGGTGCTCGTTGCCAGTCCCGGGATGCTCATTGCCCACCCCGGGATGCTCATTGCTAGCCCCGGGATGCTCATTGCTCACCCCGGGATGCTCGTTGCCCACCCTGGGATGCTCGTTGACCCCCCCAGGATGCTCGATGCCTGTCCTGGGATGCTTGTTGCCCTCCCACAATGCTCATTACCTGCCCAGAATGCTCGTTGCCCACCCCAGGGTTCTCATTGCCCACCACGTGATGCTCATTGCCAACCCCAGCGTGCTCATTGCCCACCCTAGGGTGCTCGTTGACCACCCTGGGACGCCCGTTGCCTGCCTCAGGATGCTCCTTGACCCCCCCAGGGTGCTCATTGCCCACCCTGGGACGCTCCTTGACCGCCCCAGATGCTCGCTGCCTGCCCTGGGATGCTGCCTGCCCCCTGGGACGGAGCCTCCGGAGGCACTGCAGCAGGGAAGTGCCACCCTCCAGAGAGATAAGGCCACCCCTGGGGAGGGGTCGCTGCCCCGGGGCGTGGTGGCACCACGGCTGCGGTTGCCCAGCCCGAGAGCGCGGGTGCCACCACCACCATCCTGGCTGGGCCTGCCCACGGCAGGAAGGTGCCTTCAAAATGCAGTTGGTGTTATTCTAGCGGTACGTAACCAACAGCGCAGCTTGGGCACAGATCGCGTGGTGTGGTTCGTTTTTTTTTCCTCTGGGTGAAATGCGGCAGTGGAAATGTTCCTCGTTCCACCCGGTGTGTGGTGGGTTGTTCCTGCGGGTTCGGTGTAAGACCCTTAGCAGAGACACTTGCTCCGCGTGGAGCAGAAGTAGGGGCGAGGGCATAAAAAGCTGGTTAAAAGCAAGTGAGACAGCTTTTGCGCTTTACGGGCGATTTCATTTCAGAACTTGCCTCCTGTAAACGGGCAACGGAATTACGGGGCATCCATAGGCAAACAAAATGCACCGTGTGTAGCCCTTTTCAGCTGAGATTTCACAGAGATAAGCGCACGTCAACAGGCACGACCTCGTGCTCTGTGAACACCTTCTACACTTCCTCTGCTTTGTACTTACCAGGACAATATCCCTTAGGTTTTCTTTAACCTGTGCACAGCGATACCGTTTTCCCCCACTGATGTGGAATCTGAAGATTTATTTTTTTTTCCTTCTTAAAAACATTTTTCCATATACCTTCACTCTAAGCTGAAGGTGGTTTCTCATTCTTTTCCTCGTCTTTTACTCTGATCGCAGTTTATATGCTCTGCTGCACTCATCGGATGCTGCACAAATTGTCTAGCACTTACCTAACTAAACCACTGATTAAAATTATTTGAAGTGAGACTATTTTTTGTCTGTTGACTCAAGTATTTTGGGGCACAGTCTTGCTGTCAGAAAGCAAGCTGTCTGAAGGATGTTTACACAGTCACTGGGCGATTTCAGTTTATTGGAAGGCAGAGCATTTACTTGAAGAACCTTGGTGCTGTGATTGCTCATCCTTGCAGTTACTAATCACCTACGGATGGCACCACGTGAAGCGTCTTTGCGTAAAGCTGAGGCGCTGCAGCGAGGCTTAAGTTTCGGTCTGAAGAACATCTGGATTTTAAATAAAGCAAGGTGTTAATCATTTTGGCAAATCTCACGCAGTTCACGTTGGAATGGATCCCATCTTGTTTTATAAAAACAACCCGAAATAACTTTTTTTGGTCGTTTTTATATTGATATACACGTAGCAAAGACTGTATTGTGTGATGCATCCCCGTGGAAGTGCCCCTGCAGCCGAGATGGCATGAAAAGCAGGATTTAAAGTTTCACTTTACAGTGGTTTGTTTCCGATCTGCCATCAAGTTATTAAAATAGCTGCATCTCCGGGACAGGTCGGGAGTTACAGAAAGTGCTTGTTGGTGTATTCGCTTCTGAAGCGTCCAATATTTTCTCACTGCTCCCGTAGCTCTGCAGGGAAAGGGTGAAAAAGGAAATAGTTGTTAATGCTGGTTGCAAAACATAAGGGAAAATACTGAGCTTAGTTCAGGCTGACCCTGATTAATTTGTGTAAAACGTTTGTGCTCGTCACTTCCAATAATGGGGCGTGGGTTAAATCCAGACGTGGCGTAGGTTTGCATTGGGACAGAATTTTTGAGCCGTGCTGTTGAGTTTAAACGTTTCAAGAGCTGTTTTGTTCGGTTGTGTCGTTGATGGCGTGCTTACCGCCTGCGTCTGCAGCGTTGTCTGTCGGAGTCAAACAGTCATAAACCAGCTGTGTGGGAGGGATTTCCTTTGGGAAGCCGTCGAAAGAGAGCGTAAGATTGCTGGTTCCCAAGGTCTCATCCAAAATTTGGTGCGAAATGCTCGGGCCTGGGAATCTTGGGACTGCGTTAGGCATTCGGGATGAGAGCAGTTCATTTGGATTGGGGGTCGCCTGCACAAAGTCTGAGCCCAGCCGGGCTGGAGAGCACACGAGGCTCCTCATGGGTGCACAGACGGGGCTGCTCCCTCCCGGGAGCGTGTGGGCTGCGCTGGAGCGGGGCTTGCAAACCGAAACGGGGAGCGCTCAGGGTTTGTTCTTGTTCTCCTTCACAGGACGGATTTTGGTTCTGGAGGAAAGGGAGCAAACATTAGTTTTTCTAAAGCACAGAGCTGTCTGGTTCCGAAGTGCCCATAACTCTGCCATTCCCCCAGCTCTCGCGCCTCTTCTCTCTAGGGAGAACCATCCACAAATTACCTCAGGTGGGGTCTCGAGAGTCGCGGCTTAGCAACGTTAGCAGAGGATGTTAATGAGAAAGGTCTCGTGAAATGAGCAAGCTGGATTTTCTGAAGTTGTAAAACAGTAAAACACAAGTTATTTTCCCATTTTTTAAGGAAGTGGTAAAAGGTTTTTGTTTCTCTATAGGGAGCAAAATGCTATTTGCATGGATTGTGCCCGCAGCAATTTGGTTGTTGGTGCACTGCACAGCAGGTAAGATTTTTTTTTATTTTTTTTTTTCTGCGTAGCAATTATCACTTAAAAGAAGCACTCTGGCTAATTAGGGGTTTTTCTTTCAGCTTCTGCATGGCATGCTAGTAAACATCTTCCTTACTGAAGAAAGCAAAATTTGATGCTTGATTAGGTTTATCCTGTAATTGCTGTCAGAAGTCCCCGATCTGCGGCTCCTGCCGAGTGTCCTCCCGTTCTCCACGGCAATGCCCCTCACCCTTGGCGGTCTGGGCAGGCTGTGGGCAGATTTTCTGCTACTGCTCGGCTCCTTTGCCCCCAGCACAAGTGTCCTGGAGTGTGCCAGCGAGTGCGTGCTCTCGTACGCCGAGCGCAGGGGACAGGACCGCGGGTCCCCCATCCGCGTCCTGCACCTCCCGGGAAAGACAGCGATGTGCAAGGGGAGGTCTCTGCGAGCCAGAGAAAATCTTCCTTCCTTCTTCAGTAGCAACATGCCTGCCACCGCTTTACTGAAACACAGATATTTCCTTTAAACAAAGAAAAAAAAGAGTTCTGACAGATTTACCCTGGGTTGTGCTTTTTTTTCCCCTGCGGCGGGTGGTTGGTTTCTGATCCCGGTCGGTCAGGTCGGTGAGGACTGGGTGCAGCAACATCCCATAAGTTACTGTAGAGAGGCACAAATTCTCGCATTACAGATTTGGGGAGCCTCTCCTTCTCGAGCGCAGCGTGCCGTACAAGATAAGCGACGTCTCGGTGTTGAGGGTTTGTTTTCCCGTTCTGTTGCAGAAGCCTGCAGTAAAGGGAACGTGCCTGCGAGCAAACCCCCCTGTGGCGCTGCAGAAATATGTGACAAAGGGACCATGACTGCTAACACCACTTCTCACGTCCAGCCTGGAACCAGCATCACCCTCTCATGCCAGCTGAAACCCCCGCGACCCACCGAGCAGTGCAAGATAGCTCTTTTCTTTAACAGCTCTGAACTGGTTAGCGATCACGGCAGTTCAGTAAGCACCGGGTTTCTAGTCCGTACATACGGCAAACACATGTTTACGTGCAAAACAGTTTGTGAATACAAGAGAAGACTCATCTGTGGAATCGATATCGAGTCTGGAAGTAAGGATAATTTCATTATTCCTCGTTCTTAAATATTTCCTGTGGTACCTCTGAGACACGTCTTAGAAACCAGCAGCGGGCGGCCTTTCCCAGAGAAGGTGCTGCCTTTTAGTGAGTATTTAAAATATTCCTGGCTGGAACTGTGCAACTCCGTTATTCATGAACAAAGAGATGCTAAATAAAAGTGCCCCCTCAGAGCAAACAGCACGCTCTCCTGTTCTAACCCTGACACCCACCAGTCTCTCCAGGACACGGGGGACCTGCAAGAAAAATTCTGAGGAAATTTCAGTTTTTCTTCTGGAAAGATGAGCTGATGCTGCTTCAGCAGTCCTCTGCTGTAACAGAGTTGTTGTTTTGTTGTAAGGGTTTGGGGTTTTTTTATTTTTAAAAAAGTAAGAATAACGGTCGATTGCTTCAAGCAAAGCTTGTGGTGCCCAGTCTGGAGAGCTGTTAAGCACTTGTGGCACCCTGGTAGAGTCACTGGGGTTTTGCTCAAGTGTCAGAGGTCTCAAAAGGCTGCAGAGATCGTAGACTCAGCTGTTTTCCCATATAAAAATTGTTAGCCTGAATATTTTGTAAGTTCTCTAAAAAAAAAAAACCACCCCAAACAATCAAAAAGCCAAACATTTCTTAAAACGTCTCCTACCAGCATCTTTAAGGAAGAAACTGATAAGAATATCTGTTTAAGATCCTCCAGATGAGCCAAAAAATGTGTCGTGTATCCAGTACGGGACAGACGGCCATCCCACCTGCACCTGGGACAAGGGCAGGCTCACGTACATCAACACTACCTATGTGATGCAGTAAGTAACCCAGGTTCTTCGATTGTATCTTCGAGCAGCTGAAGCCCCTTTGCTGCTCCCGTCCCTGTGGGCCGCTCTGCAGGAGGTCGGCTGCTTCGAATAAAGAGGGTGAGCCAAGACACGGCCCCCTTTTGAAAAGGAGATTGGGTCTGAAAGGCTTTCCTGCGGTGGGAACCCTCTGTTACTGATTCCGTGGCCAGCAGTGCCTGCACCAGGAATACCGTGGTCTGAGCTGCGGGCGCCAAGGGTTTAGCTAAGGTGATGGAGAGAGATTTTGCTTGGAAACGTGTTATTTTTGCTTCCTGTTTTAGACCCAACCTGTAATTTTGTTCACTCTGGTTTGGCTGAGCCTTCGCTGAAAAAGGCTGTGGAGACTTTTGCAGCGAACTGTGGGGAAGGAGCCAAGAGCCCAGAGCCCACCAAGGCACGTCAGGAGACCTTTGGATTCTGGGAATCACCATGCATGGGAGGAACCTTATTAAAACCCTCTCTTCCAGCAAACATCTGGCTAGAATGAATTAATTTTGCCCTTTGCAAACCACTGGGTAGGCTGAACTAGCCCTCATTTGTTTCTGAGGTGCTGCGTGTTGACTGCGTCCTTGCCCTGCGGGTCTCACTCTTCCTCACCTTCTTCTTCACCTCCTCTGTTGGCCAAGGTAGCAGCAACTTAGCAGCTTGGAGAAACCTCTCACTGCTCTTTAAGCAGAAGGAGAATATTCAGGTGACTTGCAGAAGGGTAGGGAAGTGATGGATAACGAGTCCCGCAAGGGTTGTGACATAGAGATACGGCAGCGCTTGCTAGTGAGCTATTAAATATATTGCAAAATGCAAAAGGTCACCCCAAAGCAACACGATACCAACGCCTCTGATTCAGGTGGAAGAAAATACACAGAGAAGCTAAATGAGTTCCTCCAGGCAATGGGTTGAATGACAGACTGAGAAATTAAAGGTTGTGTTTGAAATCATACCATCCAGCCGTGAGACTGCGGGTAAATTACATTTTTAATCACTAACTTACGTTAAATAACAGAAAAAAAAAAATATCGCAAACCCACTCCAAAATCCATCATCCCCCTAAATGCTGCGTACCAGTGCTTGTACGTAGAGAAATATTAGGTAACCAACGTGAGGTGACTGTTATACTATTAAAAGCAGCCTGCTGACATCCCTGCAGTTCACTGGAAATCCAGAAACACTTCCTTTGTCCACAATTAAACCCAAAAAGCAGCGTAACGCCTTTCCTACCGATTTAGCCAGAGGAGCATTTGCTGTAAGCACCGTGTTGAAGCAGACAGATCTTCCAGGGGGCAATGACCTACCTGCCTTGTGTCGCTCGAAATCCAAGTGCAGGGGACGCGCTACACGAGCCCCAGCCACGAGGGACCCAGAGCGACGCACCCGGGGGTTTAGCTTTCTCGTTGTACAGGAAAATCTTAACCAAGAGTTTTCCTTCTGTTCCAGGTTATCAAACGGGACGGATGTCTTATGCGTCTCAGAAGAAAGTCTGAATAAGAAGTTTGGCTCGTTGGCCCTGAGCAAGTTGAATTTTGACGCTACTTACACCGTTGTGGTTGCCGCCTCCAACGAGCTAGGAAGCGCTTTGTCACGGCCACTCGCGTTCATGCTAATAGACATAGGTAAGTGCACTCCTGACTACCTTGCAGTCAGTCCCAGCCCTTCAGAAAGACAAAAAAAAAACAAAACAAAAAAAAAAAACCCAACCATTTTGTGCTCTTTTCTCGTTCAAACCCCTCAGAAAAACCGTCCGCCCAGTCTAAACCGGTAACTCTGTTTCCCCTGGTTCTGAGCTGCATATCTGAGCGCTGTTTGCTTCTTTCTGTTTCTGCTGCTAGTGAAACCACATCCTCCCAACTTTTTAGTGGAATTTGATAATTCTTCTGCGACCAGTTGCACCTTTTTTTGGCACGATGAAGCGCAAGCGCGGCACTGGAGGCTGAGATACCGTCCACTTACCAGGCACACCTGGAGCACGGTAACCCTCTTCCGAGGAGTAAAGGAAATTATGGTCCTCGGAGGCTGTTTTCATTATTTTTTCATTATTTCTCACCAGAATCTCTTCGTTCAAATTTTTTTCCGTCTGCTTTCTGACATCATATTTAAGAAAAAATATTGCCTACAGGTCAAAAACTATTGTTGGTCTAAAACTGAATGAAGTTAAACCACTGATCCTGTAAAAACCCAGGTCTGTGCATCGTTCCCCTTATGTCAGGTGTCTCTGTGACACACTGAAGAATCAAAGCTTGAGTTCGACCCATCATTTTATTGGAATACGGTCGTATCTGCTCGTTGTAGCTCACGGCTCCAGGCATCAAATGTCCAAACGTTTGTGCCTTCCCTCCCGTCGATTGGAAGTCTTTGCTTTTATTTTAAGGGGTGAAATTGAGGAAAGTATTGAAGTTGAGTAAAACATGAACAGAAAATCTGTTATCTTCACATAATTAAAAGATTTTTCAGATAAAGAACTGCAAGCCCGATGATTCATTGCATCATTCTTTGAGTTATTAAAGTTGCCTCAGATCAAGGTTTTCCCCACAGTTGGGTTTTTTTTCTTTTTTAGAGCTGTGTTTTGGCTGGCTGGGCTTCCTTTGGGCGTTAGGAATTCAGCCTGTCGCCGCCTTCAACCTTTATCTCCTTATGAGTTTCGTGTTACGTGTCTTTTATCTTCATTAAAGGTTGAAAGCTTAAACAGTGAAAAGTGCAGCCTTCATGGTCTGGAGCCTCACACAGCCTACGAGTTTCAGGTCAGCTGTAAAATCCACCCCGAGCGAGGACTGTGGAGTAACTGGCGCTCGTACCAAACCCGGACTCCCGAGGCAGGTAACACACGACGGCACCTCCCGCACCAAGCCTGTGTCTGACGTTTCCATCCAAGCGGAAACTTTTAACTAATGAAGTCAAAACCGCTGCCGGGGTTTTGCCGCTTGGTTTGCAGAGTCTCTGTCGATCCAGAGCCAACAGGGAAGCAACTTCTGTAAGAGAATTGCTTTTCTAATGAACAAAAAAAAAAAAAAAAGGGAGTTCGCTGGGAAGGTCTGAAGGATACATTTGACGGTGGTGAAGGTTGGGGGGGTTTTCCCAGAGCCGTAGTGGCCTCCTGCTGCATCGCGACATGTCTGGAAGGGGCAGTTTGTCCAGCTTAGCTGGGGAAAGACAAATATTTCGTATTGGTTCCTATCTAAGTGTTTTACTGACTTCCTGCAGCAACCCCATAACTCAAGTCAGGATGGCTGCTGGGTCACGTCCCGGCGCCAACGGGCAGCCTGAGCAGCACGCTCTGGCATCTTGACCTTGCTCAGCCGTTTGCTGAGGAGTTGAATGAATTGGCTGGGAAACTGCCTGGACTCTTCCAGTTCTGCTGATGCTGGCAGATTTTAGCAGAGCAGTTTAATCTTGGCAAGTCGCCTTTCCCCAAGCAGAGAAGGTATTTCACTCGGGACCTCCCCAGGTGACCCCTCCAAGGTGCTGTGGAGTCACTGGAGACCTCTCTAGCTTCAGAGCAGAACCTGGCCAGGCGCTGGGCAGAGATCCCACCAGGAATTCCGTGAGAAAAGAGTGTTTCTGGCCCAGAGGATGGCACCGCAGGCTCCAGGGACAACCCACCCGAGGGCAATTCTAGTGCCCGCCTGACCTCACCCTGAGCTGCGTGAACTCACGCGATGCAAAACTCCCAGTTCTTACGAGAGAAGAAAGCTTCTCAGAAGTTTGTTTCAACAAAGATGTGTTGGCTGCTCTGGCATCCCCTCCTTTCATCTCTTACTTGGCTTTCGTTACTCTTTTTTGTGAATTACTATAAGCTCCTCGGGCTAGTGCCGTTATTACTCATGCTGTTCACCACTACTGACAGCATCAGTTTCTGTAAGACACATTGATCGAGGTGTGAAGTTTTCCTCCTCTCCCTCACCTTCCTCTCAACAGCTTTCTCAACCTCCCTGATGAACCCTGGCTTGCTATGGCATTTGTGGTTATCACCCCTCTACCCAGGCAGTGCTAGAAAACGAGAATCTTTTTAGCTAATCAAGGAGCATTTTCTTATCTCAGGCTAGGTGACAGCGAGGGGAAGCTGCTGCTGAGAAGCTCAGGGTACATCACAGTTGCCTTTCTTTGAAGGAGCTGAAGTTCTACACATGAGCTTGGCCTTTTGCAAATTCAGGAGCAGACCATTGTAATGAGATTTTTTTTTTTTTCCCCTAAGCCTGACCTGTCACAAAACTTGCTTTATGCAAGTAGTGTTTGTAAGTGACTTTCCCCCCTCCCCGTGGTTCACATGTGAACTGAACTTTAAAATCTGGGCTGGAGTCCGAAAGATGCAATCCCATTATTTTATTTTTTCCTTCTTTGAGCTTGCCCCTTCCTCGCTCACAGCGAGCATGCTCTAGTTTTATTTCTCCCGCCAGTCCTGCTTCTTGTTTCTATTCCAGTCACTATTTGCGGTTAATACACGACAAATAGCTCTTAACATTGCCGGCATGGAGGATTTTTTCTGTCTTTGAATATAGGAAATAGCAGGCAGCCCCATTCTAGCTGGGGTTGTGCAACGGCTGCCTGCTGCTTAGGTTATTAGCAACGATTATTATTTGAATTTGATGGGTTTATTTTGGTCAGAGACCCCGAGGAAACAAGCTTTGTTACCTTTTGTTGACTTTCTTTATGTGTCTCTGATTCTGAATTGTTGGAGCATATCGTGTTCACCGGTTTCTGCAGCCAGAAGTTTGCTTTAGCGCTATTTATTCAGAACATCAAGGGTTTCCAGCCGGCGGCTGTAAGGAGATTCGTGGAAAGAATGGGAGTTTTAAGCTACCTCTGACGAGGTCCTACCCAATTTGCTGTTAAAGACATTTATTGCCTAGAGCCAGGCAGCAAACTCCTGCAGATCCTGCAGTCCCCATCGCCTGAGGCTGTCTGTTATTTTAGGATTGAGGACCTCAACTCGCCTCAACTTTCATGCGAAGCTGAGAGCTAATACTGTCACTTTGACGTGTAGGCTTCCTCGGGAGCCACCCTGATTACCGAGCGCTGGATAAAGTCACCAGCAAAGCAAAACCCTCGCTGGGCTTTACGGTCGTGAGTGCCATCACCCGCGCACAGCTGAACTCCAGCCGCAGCAGCACACGCGGGCTGTTACCCATCGAGTCATTTCAGGGACGTTTTAAATCTGAAATTTTAATTGTTTGGGGATTTTTACCTCCTTCGCTTCTTCAGCGTCTTGCTTGCTTCAGAACACAGGCAGTTACACTCTTCTCCTCCCACACCAGTGCCGACCGGGCTCCTGGACGTCTGGTACCGACGGCAGGACGTGGACTCTCAACAGCAGAACATCTCTCTTTTTTGGAAGGTGAGTTAAGGGAAACCTAAGCAGGGGCAGTAAGAACCAGCAAGGTTAGAGCGGGAACCCCGGTTTAGGTGTTTGCAGGAAAGGACTGAGCCCAAGTGGAGCACAGGGCTTTTACCAGTGCCCAGGTACCAGGACACGGACCAGCTCTGCTACCCGACGCTTGCCTCCCCTCAGAGATTCAGCGACTCTTTTCTCCCTGCCACCTCCCTTTTACAGTTCCCCAAACTTTCTGTTGTGCTGGAAGCAGAACACGTTCCCGGCACATCACATCAGCAAAGAGGAGCGAGGGTCCCACAGCTCAGCCACCGCCTTTCCACGGGGTGACCTGTCCCCCGGGTGATATACCTAAAGGGACAAATCACAACCTTCCCAATTTGTTTTCTGATTAACATCTCCCTCTCCTCACTTTCTGCCTCGGTGTTGGTTACCACACGTGGTTGGAACAGGCTGGGAAGGCAGGAGGCCACCATGCCCCATGTCCTCCACGGGCACACGCCCTGTGTGGCTGCTTTTGGGGCTGAGCTTCCTTCAGAGGCGTTTCTGCTTCTGCGAAGAACAGAGCAACGAAGATACGGGGGAGGCAGACGAGGTAATTTATTGTAATAGCCCTTTGAGGCGACCCCAACTCTTAAAAATTGAATTTCTGGCTGTCGTTTGGGCAGCGGGAAGGGTCCCGCGGGTGTCCCTGCTGCGTGGATGGACGGTTGGCCGAGGCTTCTGTCATCCAGCAGCAGCAGGAGGAAGTTGGTTTTCTCTGCAGGTGTGAAGCAGGTGATGGGCAAAGCACGTGCAAAAGGGGTTGCTAATAATAATAAAGCTGCAAATCGGAAATTGGATGAACTCAGGAGTCGAAAAAAAAAATTGGTTGCTTGGGTCTGCCAAGCAGAGCCTTCTGCGAGCTGGGGGAAACTGCAAAAGGAATTCAGGCTCAGAGCCAGCTGTGGGGTAAAAATTCCACCTTACTGTACATTGCCATCCAGCTCGGGTCTGCTATGCCAGCGCTCCCAGTGAAACCAAGCCCCGATACCAGTGCCGGGTGCTGCGTTTCTCCAGTATTACCGAAGCAGCACTTAAAGCCAGATCCAGGAGAAATTTTTGGATTTGTGGGGCTCTTTGCTATGCGGTTTTATTTCAAAGCCAATAAGATTATTTTTTTTTTAAAGCATAAACTATCCTTGACTTCCAGCTTGCAATCTCCAGTTAATCTCTAGATAATGTTGTGTCTTCTCCTCGCACCAACAAGCACTACGCTCTAAGTGAAAGCAGAATTTCTCATATAATTATGTGACTCCAGCCGTTGTGGTTTTAAGACATTTAACTTTAAGACCTTTATCTCGCAATAGCGAGCTGGCGACACTTTCTTTACCGAAGCAGTCTTCCTGCAGCATCATTCATAAAACGGGTGCAGTATGGTGCTTTTATAGCTTTCACAACAGCTACAAAGCAAAGGACTCGGACTCAGTGCAACGTACTACCATTGCATGTTTTCATATTTTCACACAAATACCGAAGAAAGGATCGCCAGTTTGTTTTCAGCAGGCTTTCTGAGAAGTTTCAGCTCTGTGTCCCGAGCCACTGCCAAAGCGATTGTAACACTGCAAACATTTTTCTATTTTTGAAAGTGCTTTTTCCCCCCCTTCCTTTTTTAATGATGAAAAAAAAACCAAAAAACCTGACTTCATAGGAACTACAGGAAACTGTGAAACTGATAGTACAACTGCAGACACCCGGGGTGGAAAAAAACAGCGAGAGGTGTTCCAGGAGACAGCACAGGCTGACTCTTCAGAAATGCATATTCTAAGTGGTTGAATTTAAATAATTCTTCATCGTGGCTTTAAGTAAAAATCTGGATTTTCCCCTAATCAAGAATTGCTCATTTTCACAAATCCAGCTGTTCAGTAAATACTCTTTTTCTTTTTCCCCCCCCTTGTGAAAAGCACGGCTTGAATTCAGACTGAAGGATGGAGGAGGCTCTGTGCTGCGCCGTCCCCAGCTATCTTGCTGCTTGGAAAATCAGCAGCTCACAGCAAAAGAGCTTCACTAAACTGGAAATAAACAGGAAAAATAAATAAGAAATGAAAAGAAAGATATGTAAGCTTAAGAGAGGCTCGGGTAAAGGCATGCTCTTGGCTCTATGATCTGGGAATTAACTCATTTCACGCCATGGAGCAGAGCAGTGAGGGAGCTGGGGGGAGGGCTGGGAGGGGAGAGCGCTGGTCGCAGGGCTGGGCAGCAGCAAAATCGAAGGGAAAAAAATCAGAATAGGCTGTTACGTGGTACAGGTTTTACACAAACGTGCAAAATCATGGTGGAAAAGGGAAATTTTGCAGCAAGGATGCTAGCTTCCTGTGGGGAAAAAAAAACCCTGTATTTTTAGCAATAAAAGTGCGTGTTCACTCATGGATGTATATCGTTAAGTTGGCACTGATGAGGAAACTACGCTGCCTTTAAAATGTATTTGCTGTACTTCAGGCCAACAGATCTTAACTTTAAAAAAAAAGTATTGCAGAAGAAAACAGCATCAAGGAGTGAGCGAGCAGTCTCCAGAGCACTGCTTGCTTCTTCCAGCTTTTAGAAGAGAAGTGAAAATTGGTAATTGGTTACTGAAGAGCATCAGCTAGTATGTGCTGGTGTCCAGCCGGTCACGCTGCTGCAGTAAATAACCCTTTGCTGGTAGAACAGAAAAAGAAGAGACGAAATTACCTCTGAGCAGCGGTTCCGTGCTTCCACGGGGCAGCTTGAGCTCCTGGGCCAGGGGGATGCTCAGAGCCGTCCCTAGGCGGGGGGGCTGGATGACAAACCTCCCCACCTCTCCCCGCGTGGGGCAGGGGCTGTGGCTGCTGCCCCACGGCGAGCAAGGCTCGGGGGCTTGCCCAAGCCCCCCCCCACGCCACACAAAGATCCCCTTCGCGGCAGAGGGTGTGTTTGGTTCACAAATCAGCAGTAACACCTTCCCCCGCGAGCGGGTCCCAAACCTTCCCGGGTGCCATCATCTGTCTGCGGGTTTTGCTCCTCCTCCTCAGAAAAATAGAATAATTAATGCACTTTCCTCACAGGCTTTGAGCCGGTCGGAGGCGAGAGGCAGAATCCTGCGGTACACGGTGACCTTCAAAGCCCCAGGCCTGAGGAGCCCCCCAGCAGGAGAAGCCCACGTTACCACCCAAACCAGCCTCGCCAGGGTCGTGCCGAGGGTGGGCTACAAGATAACGGTCACCGCCGAGAACTCAAGGGGCAGGTCCCCCCCCGTGTCCATCGTGACCGACCTGGACACCCAAGGTAAGGGCTCGGGTCTGGACCACTGGGAATCACATCCAGGTCCCACCAGGCTGTGCTCATCCAGGTCCAGCTCAGTGAATCGTTGGGGACCCGCAGATCCAGCGTTCGGTGTGGCCGGGGTGCAGTGTCACGCCACGTTAAGCTGCCCCGCATTAGGGTCACCTCAACCCCTTCTGCCAACACGGGGGTAAGCCAGGCTGTCAGCCAGCCGGGCACCTGACACGGCAAAAAGGTAACCATGCCGAAAAAAAGAGGAGAAGTGGAGAAGGGGAGAAGGGGAGAAGGGGAGAAGGGGAGAAGGGGAGAAGGGGAGAAGGGGAGAAGGGGAGAAGGGGAGAAGGGGAGGAAAACAGAAAAAAGAAGAAAAAAAGGAAAAAAGAAAAAGGGAAAAAAGAAAAAAGGA